ACACAGGGGATCAAATACCACCGAAAGAAAGCTCCATTTGTGGGGAAAAGAGGACACAAATTTAATTTGGGTGCAGCGTTGCATGACCGCGCAATAGTCAGTTACGTAGCGTAGTGCCGTAATGGCCTGGTCAGGAAGGGGGGTAAATCCTCTGGAGGGCGAGGGGTTAAAATGTTCATCGATCACCCGGAGAGGAGTGGGTTTCCCTCAACAAAAGTGGAGTTACCCTTTAAATATAATTGACAATGTAAAGAATACAAACACCACAAGGGGATCTCTGGACTCACCACCAGGTAGGGTGTTGGAAGTCAACATTCAGCATGCTGGATCATCCAGAGAGAGATTCCAGCACAGAGAGGCAATTGCTCCCATTCCTCAGGGATCCCCCTACTCAGCAAAGAGGTGATTGGCCGAAAAAAAGCGTCACTCTTATTGGTCAGGGGAATTGGCTGGGCTTAGACCTCAAGTCAAATCTCAGGTAACAATGTGAAACTAGTTTCAGAGAAGCACACACGAGTTTATTCTACATAAAGTAGATACCTTGCAGTGTCGGTTTCTTATCCAGGACTCTTAACCGTTTATATACATTGGCTGGACGGTGGCAGTGCCGGGGTGGGTGGCTGTTTATAAACGTCCTCTCCACCCCCTGCTTGTACATGCTCCCTGGGAGCACGCAGCACCGCGATACAGTGCTCGCTGTGTCCTCCGGAGACAGTGTAACACTGATCGTCGTACGGGACCTCTGTGTGAGGTCCCAATCATGTGATCACTGATTGGCCAATCAGTGATCACATGAAGAGTAGTAAGCAAGATGTTGCTTCTGACATCATTGCTTACTACGTGTGAAATCTGTGAATGATCACAGAGATCACATGGTACAGGGCTATTCACAACAGCCTTGTACCATGTGACAAGCTGTGACCAATCACAGCTCACACAGTAGTTCTCAACGGCTGCAAGAATGCAGACAGAGAGAAGGAGAAATGATTGCTTTTACAGTCTTTTTATGGGTGTAAAAGCAATCAGTGTAAAAAAATAAATCTTCGTCACCCCCAACAAGTAGTACAGTGTAACCATGGTGACATTATGTAAAAAAAAACAAAAACAAAAAAACAAATATAAAAAAATAAAAATGTCAAAATTTTTTTTTTGAAAATTATAATTTTTGGTTATAAACTAATTTGGGTCATTTTTTTTTACTAAAAGATAACGGAATACATTTTGGCCAAGATTTATGAAGAAAGATTATTTATTTGCAAAATTTATAAGAAAAACACTTTATTTTCAAAATGTTTGGACTTCATTTATAAAAAAAAAAATTCAGTGGTGAATAAATACCACCAAAATAAAGTGTTATCTGTCTCAAAAAAATGCTAAAAAATTCATATGGGTACAGTGTTGCATGACCGCGCAATTGTCATTCACAGTGTGATAGCGCTGAAAGCTGAAAAATTGGCCTGGACAGGAAGGGGTGTGAAAGTGTCCGGACTGGAAGGGGGGGGAAAGTGTCCGGACTGGAAGGGGGGAAAAGCGTGTCCGGACTGGAAGGGGGGAAAGTGTCCGGACTGGAAGGGGGGGGAAAGTGTCCGGGACTGGAAGGGGGGGGGAAAGTGTCCGGACTGGAAGGGGGGGGGAAAGCGTCCGGACTGGAAGGGGGGGGAAAGCGTCCGGACTGGAAGGGGGGGGGGAAAGTGTCCGGACTGGAAGGGGGGGGAAAGCGTCCGGACTGGAAGGGGGGGAAAAGCGTCCGGACTGGAAGGGGGGGGGGGGGAGTGTCCGGACTGGAAGGGGGGGGGGGGGGGGAAAGTCCGGACTGGAAGGGGGGGGGGGGGGGAAGCGTCCGGACTGGAAGGGGGGGGGGGGGGAAAGTGTCCGGACTGGAAGGGGGGGGGGGGGGAAGTGTCCGGAACTGGAAGGGGGGGTCCGGGGAATGGGGGAAAGTGTCCGGACTGGAAGGGGGGGGGGGAAAGTGTCCGGGGGAAGGGGGGGGGTCCGGACTGGGGGGAAAAGTGTCCGGACTGGAAGGGGGGGGGGGGGGGAAGTGTCCGGACTGGAAGGGGGGGGGGGGGTGTCGGACTGGAAGGGGGGGGGGGGGGGGGGAGGTGTGTCTGGACCGGATGGAAGGGGGGAAAGTGTCCGGGGACTGGGGGAAGTGTCCCGACTGGGAAGGGGGAAAGTGTCCGGACTGGAAGGGGGGTGAAAGTGTCCGGACTGGAAGGGGGGGGGGGGGGGGGAAGTGTCCGGACTGGAAGGGGGGGGGGGGGGGGGGAGTGTCCGGACTGGAAGGGGGGGGGGGGGGGGAAGTGTCCGGACTGGAAGGGGGGGGGGGGGGAAGTGTCCGGACTGGAAGGGGGGGGGGAAAGTGTCCGGACTGGAAGGGGGGGAAAGTGTCCAGACTGGAAGGGGGGGAAGTGTCCAGACTGGAAGGGGGGGGGGGGAAAGTGTCCGGACTGGAAGGGGGGGGTGGGACTGGAAGGGGGGGAAAGTGTCCGGGACTGGAAGGTGGGGGGGAAAGTGTCGGACTGGAAAGGTCCGGGGGGGGGAAAGTGTCCGGACTGGAAGGGGGGTGAAAGTGTCCGGACAGGAAGGGGGGGAAGTGTCTGGACTGGAAAGGGGGGGAGGATTCATGTCCGGACTGGGGGGGAAAGTGTCCGGACTGGAAGGGGGGGAAATGTCCGGACTGGAAGGGGGGGGGGGGGGGGGAAAGTGTCCAGACTGGAAGGGGGGGGGGGGGGGGAGTAGTCCGGACTGGAAGGGGGGGGGGGGAGAGTCCGGACTGGAAGGGGGGGGATGGGGGGGGGGGAAGTGTCCGGACTACTGAAGTGTAAGTTTAAAAACATACAACAATGTATCACTGTAGGATACCCAAGCAGGTCAAGTCCTGACTTTGTCGCTGCTGCAGCCTTAGTAACAGTCCCGGAATGATGTCATCTAATTGGCTGCAATGGCCTGAAGTGCAGACTGTCAGCAGACACGATAATGATTTCTCAGACTCGTCCCTGAGACTGGCAGCGACGCGATCTCGGTGTAATTCCATCACTCGATCAGGAGGAAGGCAGGTTGGAAGGTCGCGGCACATTAAGAGTTGCGGGGGTGAAATTTCAGCTACCCCGGGCCCTCTCCACTCATTGTTTCCGAACAGGTCGGTGTCACTGGAACAGGGTCAGCCCGTCAGATAAAGCCGGACGGTGATATCCTATCTATGGAAACTGGAGGAGATGGGGCTGGACACAGCAAGAGAGATCCATCGCCCTGCACCCGGGGGCAGCCCTTGACATCATCGGAGCCGCTGAATGACATAATTAGTCGGAGTTCTCATTTCACTTGCTGGGTTGGGGAGCCCTTGAACCTGGACGCACCCAGAAGACAGACCTCAGAGTGATATAGGAAGTCTTTGCACTTGTATGACCAGCAATCTAGAATGCCCCGCCCAGATTTAGGACAGCAGATGATTAAAGAATTCTTGCATGCCCAGATTTAGAAGCATCACTAAGCTTTGGTTAATTTAACAACTCTGTCACCAATGTACCTACCTAAGGATTTTATTTGTTACATTGTTTTAATAAATACCATGGTCAAGATTTTTATCACAAGACAAAAAAGTTAAAGAAAGTTTGTTTTTACTCACTGCATTGTAAGCCTACCCAGCCTTAGCTGTCACAGTGCCTCTCTTAGTGCAAGCCTCAGTTGCTGCCAAAGCCAGTTTGTTTGTAAACAAACCCATGTGATCAGTGTGATTGCCTGCAATAGTGATCACATGATCTAAAACCATGCTGATTATTTCTTGGTTTTTAGTTTTAGACCAGTGGTCTCCCAACTGTGGCTCAGGGGGGCCAAATGTTACACTATGCTTGCCTATATCTGGCCCTTATGGGAATTTTTCCTCCTACTGATACCATCGATGGGGCACTATTCCTCCCACTGATACCAATGATGGGGCACTATTCCTCCCACTGACACCAATGATGGGTCACTATTTCCTCCCACTGACACCAATGATGGGGCACTATTCCTCCCACTGACACCAATGATGGGGGCAATATTCCTCACACTGACACCAATGATGGGGCAATATTCCTCACACTGACACCAATGATGGAGCACATATTCCTCCACTGACACCAATGATGGGGCACTATTCCTCCCACTGAACCAATGATGGAGGCACTATTCTTCCCACTGACACCAATGATGGGGAACTATTCCTCCCACTGATACCAATGATGGAGCACTATTCCTCCCACTGACACCAATGATGGGCCATCTATTCCTTCCACTGATACCAGTGATGGGGCACTATTCCTCCCACTGACACCAGTGATGGGGCACTATTCCTCCCACTGACACCAATGATCCACTGGACACCAAAGATGGGGCACTATTCCTCCCACTGACACCAATGATGGGGCACTATTCCTCCCACTGATAACTGACTACCTCCAATGATGGGGCACTATTCCTCCCACTGACACCAAGGATGGGACACTATTCCCTTCCACTGATAACAATGATGGGGCACTATTCCTCCCACTGACACCAATGATGGGGCACTATTCCTCCCACTGAAACCAATGATGGGGCACTATTCCTCTCACTCTGACACCAATGATGGGGCACTATTCCTCCACTGACACCAATGATGGGACACTATTCCTCCCACTGATACCAATGATGGGGCACTATTCCTCCCACTGATACCTAATGATGGGCAATATTCCTCCCACTGACACCAATGATGGGGCACTATTCCTCCCACTGACACCAATGAAGGGGCACTATTCCTCCCACTGACACCAATGATGGGGACACTATTCCTCCCACTGACACCAATGATGGGACACTATTCCTCCCACTGACACCAATGATGGGGCACTATTCCTCCCACTGACACCAATGATGGGGCACTATTCCTCCCACTGACACCAATGATGGGGCACTATTCCTCCACTGACACCAATGATGGGGCCACTATTCCTCCCACTGACACCAATGATGGGACACTATTCCTCCCACTGATACCAATGATGGGGCACTATTCCTCCCACTGACACCAATGATGGGGCACTATTCCTCCCACTGACACCAATGATGGGGCACTATTCCTCCCACTGACACCAATGATGGGGCACTATTCCTCCCACTGACACCAAAGATGGGACACTATTCCTCCCACGTTATACCAACATTTGGTCACAATTCCTCTCATTAAAACCAATGATGGCGCATGGTTTACTCCCACAGGCCACAGCCCGGCCCCCCTAGAGCCTGAAGGACAGTCAACTTTGCTTACAAAGTTGGAGACCCCCGGTTTAGAGGAACAGCTGTCTACAGTTTAAGTCATAACAGCATTATAACTGTATACATAATGTATCAGGCCCACTTACCTGCATGAAGCCAGATTTGTGCCAGTGTCATCCAGGGGTGCAGTGGGCCTTGCTTTGGAGCACTACTCTGCAGAGATGAGGCTACCTCGGACAACGCCTGTTCCACACGTGATGCTGCAATGGACGTCGCGTGGACGGAACCTAAAAAGGAGACACCAATATGAGAAGTGGAAACCGCAGGAACCCGTAATGTCAACCAGAAGCGGTGCCGCCAGCCTGTGTGCTGTTAAATGCCATTTTTCCTGCGTGACAGACACAACTGTGTGGGCAAGACGTGCAGTAGCCAGATCAAGGCATGACCAGACATAGAACACAGCAGCCGGACACGGGGCCCTCAAACGTGCCAGAAGAGAAAGCCTAGTGATGTTAGAGCTGTGACCTTACCTGATCAACCGTCTCTTAGAAAACCGAAAAATCAACAAGACCAAATACAAACCCCACACATAATTGTCCTTCCAAGACCAGCCTCTGATGAACTCTTCCTCCAGCCTTAAGAGTTCTCGGAAAGCTTTGTTCCTAAACATGGCTTCTAAGGAAAAACACTGCTGACTTGAAAAGCAATAATAAACATAAGGACGGGTCCTTCAAGAAATCAACGGTCAAGGTGTCACCATCACTGTGGGAGTCCGTTCTCGTTTTTAAGCCCCCAGCGGCGCACAGCTCCCCGATAGAAATGAATGGAGGCCATGGTGTGCATGCGAAGTAGGGGAGAACCTACCTGGGATGATATATATTATTGTAGGTGGGCTACACTCTTGAGAGGGTTTTGGGGGGTGTTCATACTTAAAGCACAATGTCACAAAAAGTTGAATGCTGGGTCTGCTTTGCTTACTCAGAACGCACCAAACAAAGCCAAAGAGCACCGAGCTGGAGCAACCTCAGATCTGCTTGCCAATGAATTAAGGGAATTTTTTCAGTATTAATTGGAGGCGTCTGAGACCTGTTTTGGGTTTTCCTAAAGGGTTAGTTCACCTTTACCAAAAAACTGCCTATGCAGGTAAGGGGCACCTGTAAAAAAAAAACAAAAAAAAAAACAAACTGTGCAGCTTTGACTAAAGTTAGATTCCTTTGTTATAGGTGTAGGTCATGTATGTACCTTCTGAAGCCCGGCCGAAAAAACTCTCAGAGTTGGCATCATCTTGTCCTGCCTTGTTGCTAAGGCACTCCCAGCTGTAAATGCTCACCCCCACCATCACAGGAGGGAGCTCTCAAAGCCCCCACACGTGTGGTCTCCTATATTCTTGGTTGTAGCATGACTAAGCTCAGAGCTGCTGCGATGGGAGAGAAAGAGTGCGTGCAAGGTGGTTTGAATAAGCTGGAAGAGTCCTAGCAATGTCCTAGCAACAAGGCAGGACGGGACAATGCCATCTCTGGGAGTTTTTCGACCAGGCTTTCCGTAAATGACCTATACCTACAGTGAAGGAAATGCTTATTTGATCCCTGCTGATGTTGAATGTTCGCCCCTCACACAGAAATGATCGGTCTAACAATGGAATGTTCGCCCCTCACACAGAAATGATCGGTCTAACAATGGAATGTTTGCCCCTCACACAGAAATGATCGGTCTAACAATGGAATGTTCGGTTTGTAACACTGAGAGACAGAATACAACAACAAATTCAGCAGAAATGCGTCTAACAAATGATGACTGATCTGCGTGTTTCATGAGGGAAATAAGGATTTGATCCCCTTCACAAAACATGACTTGGTACTTGGTGGCAAATCCCGTGTTGGCAATCACAGAGGTCAGACGTTTCCTGGAGTTGGCCCCCAGGTTTGCACACATCTCAGGAGGGATTTTGGCCCACTCCTCTTGGCAGATCCTCTCCAAGTCATTAAGGTTTGGGTGGCTGACGTTTGGCAACTCGAACTTTCAGCTCCCTCCACAGATTTTCAATCGGATTAAGGTCTGGAGACTGGCTATGCCACTCCAGGACCTTAATGTG